GGTAATTAGGGTTGGAATCGTGTTTTGGCGATTTCAAGGCAAAGTGGAGACTATTTCGGGTGGTAGAAGGTTGTCCACGCAGGTATATTTATCCGCCATCCCTGCAGAAGCCTCAAAATTCTTCCAGCCACATAATTAAAATCCATGATTTGACAAAAAAAGTCGTAATGGTAATAATAATAATAATAATAATAATAATAATATTGTTATTATTATAAACAACAATATAATGATAATATAATAATAATAAATAACAATAATATAATAATAATAATAACAATAATAAATAATGATAATAAAAATAATAATAACAATAATAATAACAATATAAAAATAAAAATGATAATAATAATAACAATAATAAATAATAACAATAATAATAACAATAATAAAAATAATAATAATGGTAACAATAATAATAACAATAATAATAATAACAGTAATAATGACAATAATAATAATAGAAATAATAATATAACAATGGTAATTTATCTCACTGCAGTCTTCACTTGGAACATTTTAAGGAACAGTCAAATTCAGTTGAAAATTGATCCATTCTATTCCTTGGAACAGAACAGGAATAGAATAGTTTAACTGGAACAGACATACCACTATCCACGATAGATCATACCTACCAGTGCATAATTTATTATATGTTTACATCAATAACTTCAAACGCTTTGCAATATTAAGAGTAGCAATATAAAGTATTATAACTGTTTTGTAGTCGGGAATATGCATTCATGAAAGAAGATTTGTTCATTCATTCGCTCTCGCTACCAACAATAACCAAACTTCGCCTACCAAAATTCACTAAAGATTGTTTTCAGCATTCTTCGAGAAACGTACATTACAAAAATATTCACCCATTTCTCACGCTTTCGGATTTTGGATAATATAATTATTCACCTCAATAAGATCCGGATCCATGCGCTCCACGGCATAATGTATGACTGTCTTGCCATTCGTTGCATCCTCAAATGTTACTTTTATAATTATGAGTTTAAAACTTGAATCATAACAATATAGAAGTAACATACGGTAATCAACGGGTCAGCGCCACATTTGAGGAGTGCGTTAATGACAGGTTTATTATCGAGAAGTGTTTGTCTTTCCTCCTCGATCACGCCATGGTTTTTAACAGCGCACAGAAGTGGTGTTAAGCCTAATCCATTCACCAAGTTCACATCTGTGATTCGATTTGCACATAACGTCTGCAATTTAGCATATGATCACTTCATAATCGCCAAATGAATGACAAACAATACCTCGACAATTTCGGTCATTCCGCGCGCAGCTGCGTAATGCAACGGTGCGTCTCGCTCGGGTCGTTGTGTTTGTACATTGGGATATGCACCAGCCTCCAGCAGGTATTCAACGATTGCCACACAACGCTTTTGAACAGCTAGAAAAAGTGGTGTCTCGTGGAAACGATTCGGCATGTCGAACGGTTTCTGCGTCGGTGGAAATTCCGTTTTTAACATCTGCTCGACGAGAGCATAGATCTTGGCGAGATCCGTATGAAGTGTAACGATATGCAGAAGACTATCGCGGTCTGTGTCTTGATAACAAAGTGCACCCGGAAAATACTGCAATTCATGTTGGTTGTTCGCAGATCCTTTTTTTATGAAACACAAACGATTGAATCTAAAACTAGCTGAGTAACAATCCTTTCAAAGATGACGCATCCTTATCAATGATCTTGCAGTATTGCAGTTGCACAAACACAATAAAAAACAATAAAAATATGAATCAACCTGAACACATTTACAAGTCCAAGCCCACGCTTCACTCATTTCATTGTCACTGATCATTGACCTAAGTTTATCTTTTGCAGTTCTCTTGCAACTATCCATCTTACGTGCCAAGGACTGATGATGGAACAACACTCCGGTCTGACTCTGGAACTGATCCGGAGTCGGTGGACCCAAGGTTGTACCTCGAGGAGCTGCAGGCGAATGCTGAGGTGCGGAGCCCGCACTCATTGGTGAATCGCAACCGCTATCCGTTGAAGGAGGCCGCTGCAAATGCTTTGGAGTGCTGCCGCTGCTTTCATCAAAACTTTCCGATCCACTACTTTTGCGAGATGGTGACGATGAGAATGCGTTATTATTATTAATGTTATTGCTCATAAGGATGATGTCATTGGCACAGATTATACCATTGATATCAGTGTTGTTTTTAAGGAGATGCGTTAGATTTGGAGATGACGACACCGAATAACGACGTGAATATTTCAATATAAAATCAGAGAGTGCATCAGGTAACTCCAAATTTACATTTAACAAAGCACTGTTTATCACCAAATCCTCCTGACCAGTGCTTAGAACTGGTTGATTGTTCACTGAATTTCTTGGTGGTTTTTGTGAAAACTGCTCCAAAGATTGATTGACGCCTGCTTTTACTTTATTATTTTGTTGTTGTTGAGAGGACTGGAATGGTACTGGTGAGCAATGTTGTTGAATGAGCTGGTAGTGGCTGTGGTTTTCATAAGGAACTGATAAAATGCAGCTGGTAGCTGGTGATGAGCCGTCTGACGATAAGTAACCACCGAACTTGTCCTCCTCGGGACTATCCGCCCAACAACTATTGCCACATTCATAACCAGACCCATAACCATTATAAACCGAATAGTCATCAACTGCAGTCTGCGGTGCAGTTCCATAGGCTGTTGTTGTGGTGGTGGTGTTTGATGAGTGCTTTGCGCCTGTATACGGATGATGATGATTATGATGACTGTATGCAGCACTACTATTGCTGCTGTCCACTGCGGCACTTGAAACGAATCTCGAACTGCGTACTGGTCCACGACTCAGAAGAATCTCTTCTTCATGCTTCATATCATCACAACATTGTTCTTTGAACTGTTGCGGTTGACATTCTGAACAGCACTGTACTGATTTTAATTTCAGTCTAATCGCATCATATTCGTTATTGATTCTTTCCGGTGATTCTTTATCATGCTCTGGTGCAATCGTTTTACCTTTCACCGCCTCCTTATCCGAATCAAGAACGCTATTACGAACACCTATGCTAGTTATTTTTTTCCTCACTCCATCATCATCAATCTCGGTTTCATTCTTCTTCTGCTTCTCTTTTTTTTTCAAGGACTTACCCTCCTGCTGTTCCTCATTAACCGTCTCCTTTTCATCGCTACCAACAGCTGACAAAAATGATAACTTTCTCATGTCAGCGCAAATATCACCGTCCTTTTTTCCCTTATCTCCCCATTTTTCACATCCACCGGTTTGTTTGTATGATCTAGTGTTGGTGTTAGCACATATCTCTTTACCGTTCATCTTCTCGACTGTTGCTTCTTTGGTCTGCTGCAATTCAATAATCAATCATTCATTAACGAACAACAACGTGCCATAAATAACAAATAAATAATCAAACAACTTACATCGCCCTTCTTCGAACAGCAGTTGATTAAATCCGTGAAAAGCACCGCTCCACCACGATTATTTTTTGACGTTGTATTTGTCTTTCTCGCGAGCGCACTCGATCGTAAACTTTGCAAAGTGACAAAATCTGCCGGTGATATCGCATCCACGAAGCGATTATTTTTTTGTTTATTGTTATCATTATTAGCATTAGTATGATGGTTATCACTCACTATCGATCGACGGTTATCAGCAACTGATAGTGCAGATAACTTATCAATGAGATTAGTGCTATGATCAGCATTACCATTTTTATCATGCTGCATCTCATTCAGTGAATCAGAAGCAACCTGCATTTTAGAAGCAATGTCACTGATATGAAACCGATGATGATCACATACTAAATTCGTTTTAGGTTTCCGTTGTTGTTGTTGTGCCTGCTGACTTCCTAACGAGCAGCTAACCGCATGCGCAACTAAACATGTCCCATTCGATGAACTCATTGTGATATGATGGTAACTGTAAGGAATAAGCAATGCCGATTCGTCTTCTTTTCTCCTCTTCTTTATGTTATCGCAATTACTGCATGAACTATATATAGACAAATGCGAGAATAAATTCACCAAATTATGAGATTGATTGATCGATGAATCCACCCTGAAATTATCATTGTTTTTAGTAACATTTTTTACTGATATATGATGATTAAATTATACAATTCATCATTAATAAAACAATAAGTCGAGCAACAGAGGTAGATAAACGATCTGAGATGCGAACAAGAGGATAGTGCAGATAAATGCCAACCGTACATGAATAAGTAAAGAAGCTGTTTATTAGGTCGACAAATTCACGATTTTATCAAGACAGATTGATCGGTAAGACAAATATATTTTACCTTCCAATAAGAACATTTCATTAAGCGATCTCTATGCTTGATCACAACGATAGTTTTTTAATTGGTTAAACATATACGTGAAAAGATTATTGATATTTTTTAAAACACATTAGCAGTGGCGTAGCCAAGAGGTAAAGGTCGCGTCCTCCCAACCCTCCCTCCTCCCCTCCTTCTTCCCCTCTGGATGGTAGAAAAAAGGAACAAGAATAGAGAAGGACAGTGGGGGGGGCTGAAGGAAGGTGGAAAAAAGAATGGGGAAAAACAAGGGGAAGAAGAAAGAACAAAAATAAATGTAGAAAAACCCGCCTCAAAATTTAGTTTTTTAATGGATCAAATCATTTTATCCCCCCCTCCTTCCCCCGGAAAAAATTCTAGCTATGCCATTGCACATATAAGATATTTCCTTAAAAAAACAATATTTGTTAATTTCGATAACACAACTTACGGCGTTCTTTCTCATTAGCTACCAGAATATTCAAAGTATCGAGTTCAAAGTGAGCAAAATATTTCCATTTCTAAGATCTCTCATTTGCGTCCATTGATTACATCGCAACTCTTTTTTATTGCATTTTACCACATCTCCTCTCTCACGTGTGTCATACTGCCATTTCCTTATGCGTCTACGCAGGTGCAACATTTCCATCACTTAGCTGAGCATATCTAAGAAGTTAGACTAATGTGTTGCGGGGACGGAGAATTTCGAGGACCCCGTCTCCGGCTTTTTTCTAGTCGACCACAGTTCCGGGATCCCCGACTGCGAAATTTCACCCTCGACTTTTCCCGTCCCCTACGTTTTTCTTCCTTGCCGCAACACGCTACGTTAGATAATGGTCTTCGATAACAGTGAATGAAGTTGTTGTGAACACTATGAGATAATGATTGATTTATGATTTTGGTAAACCTAAATATGACGGTTGGATTTAAGTTGTGTTCTTCCAGCCCCACATTATAAAGGGTAGTGATGGCATCCGACTAATGATCGGTCATCAATTCCAACATTCGGACTCCGACCGAAAAAAATTGGAAGATCGGTCAGAATTCCGACTGTCGGAATGTTGAAAATTTAGGACATGAAATTCCGCTGGGATGCCATCACTAATATAGGGTGCAAACCATTCCTCGAATTCATCGTCATCCACGGCAATCTTACTGTTAGCAACTACGTCACGAAATCTGAACCGGCGAATGTCATCCATACCACCACACAAGGAACCAAATATCCTACAGCTTCTGACAGATTTGAATGGTAAGTTGTGAAAGGAATGGTCTCATTGCTGCAATGCTAAGGCTAAGCTTGTATATTTAGAAGCACGAAAACAAATTCCGAGATCAGAATTGTCACGCATGACCTCTCTAAGCATTAGGATAGCGATAATCATCGAAATTCAGGAGAATGAAGCATTGCGATCATTTGTAATCGTTAGCGGGTTCTTTGTGATCACTGACAATTCCACTGCATTATATGGTGTTTGCATCTTCGCGAATTTGCCATACTCTCTTCCTCTCCATCCTCTTTTTTGGGAAAACCTCTCAACTGTCAGACAATTACGACGAGCGATACAGACGACTTGCAGCGAGAAAAATGAGGTGATAGAGTCTTCTCTTCCGAACTCAGAAAACATTTTGCTCATTTTCAACGTTCTGGCAGCTGAAATGGTATAGCGCCAAATTTATTACAACTTTTAAAATGTACGGTCATCTTTTCTTCATTTTCCTCTCAATTTTTAAAACTAGTTTGAAAAAATCAATACTTTTGCCTTGGTAAAATATAGGCAAAAATTATGTAAAATAAGCCTATAACACTACTACAGACAATAACGCAACTGATTCGAATCAGTCTGAAACGCATTCATTCTATGAAAGAGTCGTATATGAATTGAAGCAAATAAAATCCCATATTCTGATTAAAACGAGTTAGACTTAGATTGAAACAAGAAAGAACGGAAAACACACAGAAACAGACACACTGACTACTGCTTCATTGATCAAATATCATGGTTGTTGATGAGCAAAAGTAGCATTCAACACATGCATTACATCAATTACACATTATTATTCCTTTTAAGTGGTTAGATAAGACGGAGAGACGATATCTTTAATACAGTGGTTCTGAACCATTTTTCGCTCGTACCTCTGGAAAATTTTTTAATTTCCTGGCACCCCTCATAGCAGTAGTTAATTTAAGAATAAAAGTAAATGCAACCGAACAAATTTTTCATAATTAAAATTTAATAAAATAAAAAATGATCATTTCGAAAAGAAAAAATATTACAAAAAAGTAACAGCCGCATAAACTCACAACAAATTTTCATCCATGCATGAAACCTTTTCAAAAATATATACGCTGAAGTCTACTCTCCCCTACTTTATACACATGTATGCGTTGAACTCCGCCCTCGCCTACTTAATGTTTAAAAAATGAAGTATTATCTCGCACCCCTGGTGTACCAGATCAAGACAAACCAATAAAATAAACAAAAAGAAGGACGATCGCGCGCAAACAACTCAAAATCGATTAATGAATTTCATTGCTAACAAATTTATCAAGGAACCGATGA